CAGTGACGCCACATTTTACTAGTAATGCAGTATTTTGATATTGCATTTAAACTATCCTACTTAAAATAATTAAACATTCTGTGTCTCTAAAGAGTAAAAATAGTTTATCTGTATAGTAAACTGCTGTTCAAATAAAGGGGACTTCAGACATTTTCAGTTTTACTCTTGAACAATATAGTCCCCATGTACAAGTTAATTACACGACTTTCATTCCAATTAATGTTACTCAAAAGACTTTTTCTAAAATCATTAGGTTTCTGGCTCTGGTGCAGCTTCCACTTTTGTTTTTACCATTGATTCTCAAATTCATTCATAGGTGATTTTAAATGAATAGATAGTAAAATTTACTTCTCTTACAACATTCATATTCGTTGAGAAGCGATTAGTTTAAAGCTTCTCTCTCTCCCTTTGTGTTCTCCCGGTGAGATTTGCAGCTGTGACTGGAAAACGAATTGTCAGCTGATTTCTCATTTTTTGGCACGCGAATTGTTTGGTCCGTCAGCATCTCAAGGTGTGATCTGTTATTTGTACCAACATCTGTTGCAGTGAGTCTGCAAACCTCGTTCATTTACACAATTCACCATTCATTAACTTATTTTAAGGTATCACTAATTTTATTAAAAAAATAAATCATATTTCTGGAAATTATATAAATAATAAGTTATCTATTTAAATTCAGAAAGTACTAATTGATTTAAATATTTATTAATTTTAATATGTATTATTTTAATAATACCTATTAATTTATAAATTATAGTGTTCAATTTATATCAACTGTGTTGAGCTCGTGTTTCGAGACAACAGTTGTATGAGTCATAACAGACAACGACCACAATTTGTGCTACCACGAACTGCCGCTGCAAAACCAAAAATGCATTTGAAAAGTTCCTCCGTGAATCAAGGACGTAGTCAAATGGCCCTGTTTGGGGATTATGAGTCTGATAGTTTGCTATGGTAACTTTCTGACGCGAAGATGTCGGTCTATTGATGTTGGTCAAGTAAATCACATAATGCAATTAATTACAAGAGTAATTTCCCTGCCCGGCACAGACATCACAAACAGTCTATTGGGATTCCACAACGCGGTGAGATCATCGCACTGCGAGCTGTGACGGGAGAAAGGGGACAACACAGGCCAAGGTCTATTTTCCTGGCACAAGTTCAGGTTTTGCATGTTGGTGGAATCAATGCTCTAAAACTCCTGCCATACTGCGGGTCTGCAGAATTATCCTTTCTATTTTGTATTCAAATAAGAAGCCTACGAGTTTATATCCATCTTCTAAAAGTGTCGTAAGTAAATGTATCTTTCTGAAAATAAGCGAACAGCAAAAACGACAGGTATAGATAACACTCCCTAATCACGTGGATTTGTTTAGTGAATGTTTAATGTCCCCAACAAATCACTATCAATAAACAACATACGTTTTGTTAATATTTGTATTCTAAATTATTCTGTCAAGGTTCTAACACAAAGACATTTTCATACAACTAACTCCGACTACATCAAAACATTTACATCATTTTTGCAATACACCTTGTACAATATTCCGTAAGCCATTTTTTGGAAATACAAATATTGCCAGTAAAATAAACCAAACTGCCTCTCCTTTTCAACTCTTTTCGGAATAAATATTTTCTTTATACGGAGCTACTTATATCTGGAATCAGAGAGTAAGGACACAAACAAAAGCCTCTATGTGAGTCCTGTCTCATAACTGATAAGGAAATAAAATTTTAAAGGTAGTAGTAAATACAACTATCTTATTGGAATCAACTTCAAACATACACGCTCTTTCTATAAAAATACATTCAATATTGCACTGTCTGGCTGGGAATTAAATACTGACTTTAAAAATGTAACAGTCTGGACATGTTTAAATGTAAAAAATGTTCGTTAAAGCTTGCTAAAAATAAATAGACGTAATGGTTAAATAAGTATATAAAACTGCCTCCAAAATTACTAATCATTATAATTATATAATTATGCTGTCTCTTACGTCCCACAGTTTCTATGGTTTTTTAATATAAATAATTTAGTATTCTGCATGTATACAGGTTTAAGGTGCCTCACTCAAAGATTTTCGTGATTTTCTTATGAAAACTATGACCTTGTCTCGTCTCCTACGTAATCCAAAATTATTCGACTATCTCTCCTATTTTACCATTCATATCACCAATTTCACTCTCTACATTTACGTATTTCCAAGTCGACGGCGTGGCTGCAGCTTTCTTAAAACTAGTTTACAGCAAACGCAAAATAGTCTATGCGTTTTACACTAAAATCCAGATATACATTACATTGCCTTATTTCACTTCCGGATCTACTTCTAAATTACTGCTACTTAGTTAAATACGCGCAGTTCTGAAGCATATTACGGACGTAATTTAGTAAGCAATTCTCAGTTACCGAGCATTGCATTCTCTGAGTTGGATCAGGAAGTACGTTGACAATCATTGCAATCCCTTTCAGACATAGTGGTTACGCGATATAACCTACTCTCTAGAATACTTTATATTGCTCGCAAGACGTAAATATATATTTTACATTATACAACTTTTTTTTTAACATGAAAACCGTTTATTGTTCGATTTAACTTGCACTAGTACTTCTTACTACTCGATTAAATGCTCGCGTCAGCTCTTGGAGAGAGAAAAAGAGAACACTGGCACGCAGAACGGTGTTGCGGCCGACCGTTGGGGATATTTCTGTGGGCGGCGTTTGCTCTCGGAGCCGCTCCAAAGCGCCAAAGCACGCGCGTCGAGCGGCCTGTCGCGCGTAGGCGCGGGGCGCCACGAGCGGAGGGCCACTCGCCAGCAAGACAGCCGCCTTTTCCTGCGGTTTCCTCATTCGGAGTTATTGGTCTGCGGCCGTGGATCAAGTCCGTCTCCGGAGGGGGGATTCCGCTGAAAGAGACGTTATTAACTACCAAATGTGTAAGTAGTCAGAAATCCTAGTGCAAGTCAGTTTGAAAAATGAACAATTTCCATAATATAATGTAAAATGTGCCAAGCAAGAAATATAAAATACTCCGGAAAGCTGGGTATATCGCGTAACCACCAGGCCTGAAAGGGACTGCAATGACTTGCGACTTGTTTCCTGACACAACACGGAGAATGCAATGCGCGATAATTAGGACTTGCGTCCGTAATATAAGAAAAGAAAGAAAGGCAACACCTTTCACCATCAAAGCAGGAGTACCTCACCGATCCACCCTCTCCCCAATTTATTTAATGTCTACACTTCGAATATACCAATCACCCAAAATACTGCAATAGCTCTATTTGCTGATGATACAGGACTTTATTCCCAAATAGCAATCTTCAATCTGCCGTGAAAGATCTGCAGCATCACCTCACATTATTTTCCAACGGGGCAAAAAAAATAGCATATTGAAATAAATCCACATAAAAGCCAGGCAACAATTTTACCCTCCGTCGACCAGACGTCCCCCCAAATCTCACATACCAATCACAAAACATTACCTTGCTCCCCCCCAACAAAACCGTCAAATATCTTGCAGTTTTGTTAGATAAAAGCTCTATATTGCGGGCAAAATATAAAACACCGAATAGCTACAGCAACTACTTAAGTCCATCAATTATATGCGAATCTCTAAAAATCATCCCCCCTACAACATGTTGCTATTCACCTCTATAAAGCAATGATATGACCCATATTTTCCTATGCTTCCCTAGTCTGGGTTGCCGCAACCAAAACAAACATCAACAAAATCCAAATTTTTCAAAATAGATTCCTACGCACCAGCACTAAAGCTCCCTGGTACATTCCGAATGCGCAGTTACATAATGAACTTGGCATTACACCAATCCCCGTCCATTTCTCCCTCTTACTCGTAAAATTATATTCCAAACTAATAAAGATCCCTTCAGTCATTCACTTTCACGTAGGTGAGCGTACTCCTCGCCACAAAATGTTAAAAAGTTACCAGAGTTTTTCGATCCCCCATATACACATCAACCGATGAGTCTTTTCTCATTATAAACTACTGTATATAACCACTGTATTGTATTATATCTCAAATTAAATTTTTGTTTATCATGTCACAAGATTCTTGAATATAAATCATATTAATGTATTCATCTTATGGGGCTGCAGAGGGCCAATAGCCAAGCTAGAATAAATTTAAAAAATCCTTATTTATGAAATTTAAGTTAAAACTACTACTGTTGAAGATATAATGATAAAAATTTACAATGCCTTAAAAGTAGATGGATTTCTTAAGTGGCCCCTATTCGTATCATTCCACTTCCCCTTGGAACGTAATTCATAACTTCTATATTTAAAACAATAATTATGTCATCAGTCAGTTCTGTATGGATGTCCACCCTTGTGGAAGTGCTGCCAAAAACCATATAGAAAAATTACTAACTTCAAAATATTTTTTTAAGAAATGCCATAAAAGTCCCATGGTATACTTCAGCTTGGAAAATTAGAATAGAATTACAAATAGAAATTATTACACAAGGGTATCCGAAAATTGTATTACCATTCATTATTTAGTTATTCTAATTATTACAAATTAGATTGTACAGCAACATAATTTAACTTAATAACAGCATTAACGTTAAACCAAGATTTACAAAAGGTGTATTATGGACATCTTAATTATAAAAAACAATTAAATACAAACTAAAATCACAGCAACCCGCACACAGAATGAGTTAGTGGGAGTTTTCTATTAAATACCTCCATCACCTGACTAAGACGTAATCCTCAATTACGAATAAATTCAAAAGTTGGTATCATATTAACCGGAGCAATCCGAGATGATGTGGTCAGATCTTTCGTTTACCGTCAGTGAGAACAGGGTTAGATTCTAGAATTAGGTACCGACAAAGCGGTACGTTTTCATGGGGATGTTCTATACCACTTGCCTTCCAGTGTTCCGTTGCTCTGACAACAGTAGAGACCGTGTTTGGAAGCGAGGGAAGGGAGGGGAAGGGGAGAGGAGGTGGAAATAACGATGAAGAAAAGCTGAATGAGGCGTGGGGTGGGAGCGAAGTGCTTCGGCGCGGAGAGGCGTGGCCCGTCCACCGCGCCGCTGCGGCGACCGGGGGGCGCGCACGGCTGCCGCGGGCGGCGCGCGCGGCGCGGCGGCGGCCCTTGGCTATCTGACGCGGATCCCGATATACTCGCGCCGACGCGCCGGCGGCCACTTGGCCGCCTCGCCTCTGCCCCCGCTGCACCCCTGCTCCACCCGTTGACTCCAGCCCAGGTCGACCGGGGACGGAAGCGGGACCTGAGAGGGGGCGGAGCGAGACGAAGAGAAGCGGTGAGAAGCGAGCGGGGAGAGGGCGCGGAACAGGGAGTCGTTGGTGCGAGGAGATGGGACGCAGGGGGCGGAGCGGCGGAGCGCGGCGGGGGGCGGGTGGGCGGTGGCGGTGCAGGGTGGAGGCGGAGCGGAGCGGAGACTGGGAGCGGCGAACGGCTGGGCGGTGGCGCGGGCGGTGGCGGAGAGAGAGGGCGGGAGGAGCGGAGGGTGCGGGAGCGGGAGGAGCTGGGGAAGTGGGTGGGCGGAGCGGAGAAGAATGCGAAACGCAAGAGCGAGGCGGGACGGGCGGGGCGGGCCGGGCGGGCAAGGAGGAGGAGCGGTGGCGGGTGGGAGGAGGCGGGAGGGTGGGGCACAGGAAGAGGGCGCTCCGAGCCACGTGCTGGCTGTCCCGGGCCGCGGAAACGGGCGGCACTCGGATCTACTGTGCACTCGTCAGGCCGGAGCTGCCCTTTTACCTTCACGGGAAACTGATCTCTGAGTGTCTGGAAAAACAAATTGCGAAAAATGTATTCCACTTGCATTAGATAAATCTGCGTTTAACTTCGGTGCTGGAACAGCGATATCATGCGATATACATTTGGAATGGCGCATTTCTTTTACAAGACGACAAACAGCTACTTATCTACGAAACAAAGACATTACCTCAGGAGTGAAGCATGTTTCTTGAGAAACATTACTTTTACCATCGTGTACAATATTTTATTGTATTCCAATTTTGAGTCAAATACAAAATAAAAACTCTATTTGGTTACGTCAGAGCAAATAGTTTGCTGCGCCGTCGCAAAGAGCGCGTGCGCCACCGGTCAGAGCAGCCAAGAGTTGCCTTTTATTGCCCATAGTTGATAAAGAGGTATTTTAGTAGCTTATTTTGGACCATTAATAATAATCTTTAACCTTAAGTACAAAATAAAATTGCTTTCAATTCTACTATAGAAATTAAGAAATTAATAACCCATTTACTCTTGGAGCTGGACGAAAGATATTACGTGATGTAGGGAACGGTGTAACACAAAATAATATTTTCTTCCTCTAAATTAGAAAATCACCGTAGATCCGATGCCCTACTTCAAATTTGACAAACCCATAAAAACAAATATGCAAAATTGTTAAATGAACTCAGCTTTCCATTCCCCAAGTTAGAATAAAACGCGAAGACATGATTTCTCCAAGTGTAGCTGTGAATTCTTCTAGCAATTTATAAACGAATTAAGAACAACTCATAAAACAGTTTCAACTCAATATTTTTCTTTTACAAAAAATAACATTTGTTTAATATGAAAAATAGAGATAGAATGCGAGCAAAACGCACATTTGTGAAAAAATATTTACTTGCTGACTTATCTGATAAAAAATGTTAAACACAACTTTTTCAACTCACAGAAAGAAATAGAAATGTGTTTCTCGATCACTGACGAACACAAAATTATCTCCAATTAATACCAATTCAAAGAATTAAATTATGTATTTGACATTTTGGGTCGTTGGTCCGTTTTTGCCGGCTACCTAAAGATATCACGGTATCGCCTAACGATACACCCCCCCCCCGCCGGTGTCCTAGTCGCAAGCTTGGGGGCAAGAGACTTGTGGCGAACATTCCCTTCACTGTATCTAGCAAACTACGCCTGCCCGAGACGATTGTTAAAGGAAAGCTACAACTCCAGTTTTGCCTCGACCGGGAATCGGACCTGGAACCTCTCCACGGGAAGGGAGTTCGCTGCCCAAGAGTATTTTTAGAGGCGACAGTGAAACTATGTAATACCATGAAAAGCGTCCGGTTAATGATTTCTTTATACGCAAAATGACGCACAATTTAATAAAATTAGGCTGAAATAAAACTGCAATAATTTTCTGACGTATTGTTAGGTTTATTCCTGAATTTTTCTCTTCTTTACGCTTCGTGCATTCCTCAAAACCTTTAGGAGCATCACTAATTAATAATATTCTATGTACTTGAACACGTCGCTTTCTTCGGTACCTCGAAACAATGCAATCGATTAAGCGATTTCAGCGATAAAATATCGAAACAAACATTCTTCCCCAATAGAACTCTTCCTATCTCGTTTTTAACATGCTGATTGAAGTACAGGTCTATGATGACAAAATTGTACACAAACATTAAATTTGTATTTTGTTTTAAATATACATTTACGGATCTGTAAATGAATGTCCATTAAGTAGCTAGTGAACACAAATCAGGTTGAATTTATAGTTTCTCCTGTACTTCATCAAACAGCGTTTACGTTGTCTTTGATGACCCCTTTTCGTTCGGAGGAATCTGCACTTTGTGGAACGATTTGCTCTTCTTTTCGGTTTAGCATCATGATCAATGTCCAAGGTTGCCGTTTCTATACTAGAGGCCACCCGACCAGTCAGCAGTGTTTGGACGCCGTCAGACACCCAGAGTAATTACGAGATCAACCGCACCGAAAGGTAATCTCGTAAGAAGCTAGTTTAACGCTTCGTAAACTTGGAAGAAAGCCATGTGTTCACCCAGCACTCTTCGCCCTCTCAATACGATTTCTGGTCTTCGAACGAGTACACACCAGCCTTCGGCCGTATTTTATACGGGACGCACCTGCTTTCCCAAAGGATGTGGTACTCTATTCACAGACCAGCGGCCAATTCGGTTATCCTAGCAACGACACCCACGTGACTGCAACATTAGTGATCCCCGGAGACCATTATTAACGACGTAAATGTAGTCCCCTGGACGTAAATGCACACCTGAAGCCTCTTTCAATGAAAAGTGCTTTATTGTTTACGCAACCTACCTCGGTTTGGTAATGTCTACTTTGTGTGCTTTGCCGAATTTATTTTATTACACAGCCCTGTAAAAATCTAACAAAAGGACAATAATTTTTGTAGATGCTGTCGCGTGCGTTTAAAGAAAGCTGTCAACTTTATTGACAAACTGGGGGTTGGAATTGGTGGCGAACATTGAGTCTTCGTGCTGTATAACGAACAAAAGAGAACATTCGGAACACCATTGCGATATTATTATTTAAAGGAAATATTCCACGAATTCTGGTGGGTGTGCTCAACTAAGTGTGGAGTACTACGTCCAACAATGAAAGCAAAGCGTGATATACGAGTCCAATTAAGCCTACGGACCCTCATAAAAGCGCTCGGAATTCCGTTGGTACTTTGAACTTTTCTTTTATAAATGTTTTAAGAGCATTAAAGATCTGACACGATTTATTTTCTGTGTGGCAAATATTACACTGAGCGTAACTTTTTCTTTAGTGTTTTAGGCATGATCGATCGGATTCAGGAGTCATACCTGAATATAAAGTAAGAAGTCACCGTGTGGCCGTTAAGGTACTTAGCTGAATGTTAAAGTGCAGATGAACCTCAATAATTGGCATCTGAAGGGAAAAACAAAAAAAAAATACAGTGACAAATCGAAATGTCAGCTACTAAGATAAATAGTAGAACCCTCGCAAGAGTCAAAATTCCCAAAATTATCAATTCCCATTTCAACCAAATGAGAAAATGACGTTTGGCCCTTCTAGCTACCAATTTCATTTCATATATTTATTTAAAGCATATTCATATATCACAATATTATTGCGGATTACTATTCTTTTACTCTTCAGCACAACCCTCAGGCAGAGGATGTTCGGGTAGTCGGATGTTCGGGTAGTCGGATGTTCGGGTAGTCGGATGTTCGGGTAGTCGGATGTTCGGGTAAGGTCGATGTCGGCGTAGTCGGAATGTTCGCCGCCGTAAGTCGGATGTTCGGGTAGTCGGTGTTCGTAGTCGATGTTCGGTAGTCGTGTTCGGGTAGTCGATGTTCGGGTAGTCGGATGTTCGGGTAGTCCGATGTTCGGGTATCGGATGTTTCGGGTAGTCGGATGTTCGGGTAGTCGGATGTTCGGGTAGTCGAATGTTCGGGTAGTCGGATGTTCGGTAGTCGGATTTTCGGGTAGTCGGATGTTCGGCGTACTCGGGATGTTCGAGTTGTCGGAATGTTCGACGTTGTCGGGATGATTCGAGTTGCTTGGATCGTTCGAGTTGTCGGATGTTCGAGTAGTCCGGATGTTGAGTTGTCGAACGCTTCGAGTTGTCGGACGTTCGAGTTGTCGGACGTTTCGAGTTGTGGACGTTGAGTTGTCGGACGTTCGAGTTGTCGGACGTTCGAGTTTCGGACGTTCGAGTTGTCGATGTTTGAGCGAATGAAGTGTAATAAATGTGAACGGAATTGCATGTTCTTGAGCGCCAAGTGATGTGTGGGGCGCGTGTTGCAGTGCGCGCGGCCATCGCCAGCTGGACTGCATGGAGGAGTTCAGCGAGCGCGGAAGCAACGCGGGCGGCGGCGGGCGGCGCAGGGCGCGGCGTCCCACCCAAGGAGGGTGCTGAGGGGCAGCTGACGGCGGCGGGCGCGCCCGGCGGCCAGGCGCTGGGGCCCGGCGCCCTCGCCTCGCGCCAGTCCAGCGTCACGCCCGGCCTGCGCTACCGCAACCTCGGCAAGAGCGGCCTGCGCGTCTCCAACGTCGGCCTCGGTACGTCTCGCTGGCGCTGGCGCTAGAGGACTTTTGACACAAAACTGAGAAGACTCAACTGACACACGCTTTCGGAGATCCCATGTCGAAATTGTGACGGTTTCTCATCTCACTGACATGTAAGAGTCCTTGATGTCACGTATTTATGATATATTTGGACTTTAAAAGTAAAATTAGTTCACTTGCAACTGCCAAAATATGACAATGATATTATCTCCCAAATACGAAGCGGAGCCATTTATTTCGGGAACGGTTACAACCGTCTAGAGATGCTCCCAGTTAACATGGCTGATTAACGGAGCAGCCTTTCAAGATTTTCAATCCTTCCGACAAATGTAATGCAATACTTACCAATCATCATACACCGTCTTCTCTATTTCTTCATAGAGATACAAAACACAGAGTTAATTGACTAAGAAAATTGAAGTTAAATAGCTGCAGGTCATTCTTTTCTTCATGATCTTCGTCCAAATGCCAACTCCAGTTCCCTACTCATCAAACGTTATCCTGCCACAACATTTTTCCATGGTGGTCAAAAAGCATAGACATTCTCACAAGAAATCGAGTTCAGATAAGAATAATAAGATCTAATATACCTTATAATTCTCATTATATTTATCTTTTTTATCACAAAAATTGTATATGTCTCAATGAGATTAATTAATTTTGTCTTCAAAACACACGTGACCAGAGCAGTAGCATGGACATGAATCATATACGCCCAATTTTTGCTTTCATAATGGCTGTATAAATCCCAGTTACAACATTATTATTAATGAAACAGATGTATAAAACATTTACGTCACAAGCAAAAGGACGACACCGACAAAACATTTCATTCTAACAAAAAATTCCAGCGGCCGGCTGCTCGCATCGGTAGTTTTCCGTGCCTCCTCCGATCAATATAGAACGAATGCCGAATCAATACCTTAACAAACGATCCACGGGCCGCGCGCGATCTTTCCTTTCTCACTCTTGACCCCTTCTATCCCTTTTCATACTCACACACACAAACTTACATGCACTACACTATACCACATGTCCGGAGACGAGTCCGGCGCTTAGATCTCTCCTGGCTGGGACGGTGCCCCGCCGGAGGGATACCTGACGGTGAAACCTTCGCAAGCCGACGTGCATGTCGGCGCCGTGTCTGTCGTTCTAAGCCGCCACCTCCCGGGATATAACGCGCACTTCACTTCCAGTAATGATGACCAGGCTAGTTCCCCCACCAGAAACACGAAACAATCTTGACGTAATCAATAACCTCCAGAGGCCGTCAGTTGCCCGGGATGTGAGGAGCAGCCCCCTTGCACCCCAGAGAACGGCCATCCTCCACGTCCCCCCGCCTGCAAATCCACATGCCTCTCGCCCCGCGAGTGCCCCACCTTACACTTCCTCCCGGCCTCCGCCCGCCCGCATTCCTCGCGCGCCTCGCTCGAAGAAAAGAGCTGCAGCGGCAGATGAGAAACGAACCAAAATATCGCCGCGCCCTTTTTATTTGGGGCTCGTCGTCTATATCCAGGATGGACCGCCGCCTACAGAGACTCCTTTAAGTTATTTACTAATTGACTGTATTGGGGAGCAGTTTTTGTGAACCAATAACAATGATGGAGGAGTAATGTGCCGTTTAGCTATTATTTATAGGTCGTATTTTTAGAGATTAACTATAAGTGAACTTTCCATTTGAAGCATAGTCCAGTTAATGAGAGGGCGATGCACATTTCAAAAACACGTGACATTTCGAAAAATTGTGTAAATATTGAATATTTTATGTAATGTTGAAGGTGATTCACTGAATTTAGTAACTAGACTTCTCTAAAAACGTAGCCAGACTCCGAAAATTATATTCTATGAGTACGTACGTTAGTAGAACTATTTTTAGAATTTGCGTCGTTTGTAACTGTATGTTTTAGGTTACATAAATTTCCTAAAACTTGGATGAAAGATGACGTACTTTTGTAATAATGATAATTGGAACGACAACATGCAAACCGAATGTCAACTGCTTCGAAAAAACACTGGTCGACATCAGAAGTTCAAACGGATGGATAACTGAAATTCAGAAAAAATGCTAATTTTACTTTGAATGCTATTTTCGTGGTCTGGCTATATTATTGGATCAATTTCCACCTTTTAGTGATTGATTTTGAAAGGAAGCAATTGAAATATCAGTATTAGAGTGCGAGTTATGCTTAAGCAACACCCTGTGCTGTGCTGTAGCGCGTGCAGGGAAAGCCGTTCAAAGTGCTGCACCAAAGCAGGAAGCGCTAAGGGTACGGTCAGAGTGAATCCGTATTCGGCCATTTTCGCGTTGGGACGAACGTGGCAGATGACGACCGAATACTTCAAACACTCAGTAAAACACTCGATTCAGCGCAGCACGTCGCACTGTGTGCGAAAAATTCTGGCGTTGACGTTGCAAGTAAGCTGAACACTTTCAAATGTACTTGCGTTATTTTTCCGAACTGAGTCAATCAACATGAAGCAGAAACTTCGACTTCTTTCTTTCGTTTATGAATGAAAATCCCTTAGAAGACCATGTTTCCAAGGTACCACAACAGAGACATCAGCAGGAAATTACACCCGGCAAGTTTAAAAGAAATGGGTGAAACTTTTAAACTTGTTTATGTTTAATAAAGTTTTAAGTTTAAACTTTTTAACCCATCATATAATTGATGCCATCTCTTTACTTGGTCTTATTTCAATTATTCGAATAGTTCTTCAGTTATTCTTGTCAGGAGTAAATTACAGATACAATTAAAGAAAGTGACAAACGAAGTTTGATGATGTGTTGAAGATGATGAGTTGGTGAAATTTCTTACAAAGGAACGTGATGCTTTTTTACAAACATTTTTCATATCTCAATCACATATATCGTATCAGATATAAGGTAGTGACTCCAACATAGCTCTCAGTGAGAAGATATAATACTTTCAATTCCGTGACATGACGCCTATAATTAATTATTTGAAGACAAATGTCTGGTGCAACCGAATGCAGTGGCCACTTCCGTACGGCAGCATTTGTCGGTCGATCACAAGAAAGTTTTCTTCGGCCAATCACGGATTCCACTCTGACCGTCCCCTCGTGCAGGTCTGCTCAGATGCACGATTTGCGGCCAGAACGCCCGCGGTGACCAGCTGCAGTGGCCCGCGCGCCATTCAACAGGACAAAACCGGTTTCATTTCACTGAACTGAACCGACTTCATCCAAATGCCCCTCCTCCCCTCCCTTCTCCTCTGACGGAATGACCTAGCAAGCAGCGCTGGACCGCTGTTATGGCCTGTGGGCCTCTGTCCTTTCAAGAGATTAGACCCGCTCACACCCCTGTGTCCCTCCTCCTACCTCGTTGCGCCGCCTCAACAACTTGACCACTGCAGTGACCCACGTGTCTTTCACTGGACTAAAGCCGATCGCTCCCTGTCCTCCGCGTGATCCCCCCCCGCTCTGCGCTGCGCTGAGCACGGCCCGTGCCCCGCCGCAGGCACGTGGGTGACGTTCGCGGGCGGCGTGAGCGAGGAGCAGGCGGAGGAGGTGGTGCGGCTGGCGTACGACAGCGGCATCAACGTCTTCGACCTGTCGGAGGCGCACAGCGGGCCGCGCGCGGAGCTGGAGCTGGGCCGCATCCTGCAGCGCCGCGCGTGGAAGCGCGCCTCCTACATCGTCACCACCAAGGTCTACTGGAACACCAAGTGAGTCAGGCACGGCCCCGCGCCGCATCGACTCCCCGCTTGGAAGGACGGAGAGAGGATAGTGTCTCCCGGTGCCAACTTTGCTCAGTAAACATTTGATGTACTTGTGGGAAATACGCGATCATGAAGTATTTATAATGATAAGCGCGTGACTGTATAAAGCTTGAACTTTTCTTCGAGGCGCGTCCGCTTGTGACCCGCCAGCCCACGCTTGGCCCTGGCGCTTTTCAACTACGTCCACACGACCTCCGGCCGCAACAACTCTCCGTTTGGAACGAGGGACAAAACTCCGTGCTGCGAAGATAGGGGCGCCGCTGGTGCCACCCGGGGCGGCCAAACGTTTGCCAACTACACACAGTAAAAATTTCGCGTATTTGTGGGAAATACGCGGTCATCAAGTGATAAGAACATGACTGTATAAAACGCGAACTTTCTTTTTTCAAGGCGCGACTACTTGTGTTCTACCAGCCCAAATGATTTGGGCAAATTTGGCACGACCTCAGGCCGCATTCGACTCCCCGTTTGGGACGATGGACAATACTACGTGATGTAAGGATGGGGACACTGCCAGTGTAACTCGGCGCGGTCAAACGTTTGCCAACTTCGCACTTTGAAATTTGGCGTATTTCGGCGAAATATGTAATAAGAGTTTAATCATAATGCAGTGGTCAATCATAAAATGTTTACGAGAAAGAACCGAGTCTAATACGCGGTCTTTTCAAAAATTTTGTTCCAAGTGCCCTCGTGCACGTCCCAAGCGTCTCTTCAATAACGTTGCCAGAAGTCTGTCTTTTAGTTCCCGCAAGAAGAGGCGGGGATAGAGCGCGCCAGCGTAAACGTCGCTACTAGTTTGTTTTTTTAGGGAAATTAAAAAGGGTTCCCCGGCCCCATCCGCGGATCCACAGGACTACGCCTCCTCGGCCAGGCGCAGGAAGCTTGGCGTTCCTTTCTGGGGAAACTCAGGAACTTCTGGCTGACGATAAATAATAGCACCGTCCCCTCTTGTCAAACTCCTCGTAATACCATGTGTGTAAGAGACGTGACGGAGTGTGTACAGCGTTAACGAATTTATAAACATTAATTATTCGAGTATCTCACATCAAACAAGTAGCATGATAGCTAAATGTAAATGGGTATTCTTACAGTATTTAAAGGGGCTAATACATGTCCGTTTGTTCCCTTTAATCAGAAATCTTTTGATACCCTTTTAAAACTTTGTCCCAAGCCACAGGGATTTTTTGGCTTTTGGTCCGACCCATTAGGTTTATTTGGACCGCTCATAAACCTCACGCTATTCGTAATTCATTTTTATTCTTCATATTCGATTACGAGAGTTTCTGCGTGTTTTTTCACCGCGCCTGCTGAACGTGGAGCCTTCGTGAGTGTCCCTCAATACAGCACTGGGTGCATGCGTGATCGGGAATCGGGCACGTCACAGTCTTTACAACCGATCGGTGTAAAGCAGGCATGAAGAAGTAGAAAATCATGACAACTACACGCCGACCCTGCATCTACAATACTAGATATAATATTCGTTATCAGGTCGACCTGCCTTGGTAGTAGAGACCACATGCTCCGGCCACTCTGGCCTCTCCAGTCTATTTAGTGAAGGGGCCAATCATGCCTCTATTTCATTGGTTTCTCTATTGAAGATAACTTGACCTGATAGTCAAAAATTATTAATTCGCATTCACCTGATAATCAGAAATTATGAATAAAAAATATTGCTTTGTCACATCAACTTCTCACTGATATTCTGATATAAACTTCTCATTTTACCTCCTGCCTCCGTCAGTGTTTTACTCTGTTTCTTGTACGTTTCAACAGAGTCGATGTCTGGCAGGTAAAAACGAGCTTACATTATCAATGAATCAATGTGCATTGATAAAGTTCCTTCTCTAACAGAGCCCCTGTGCGCAGGTCCGACGAACGAGGGCTGTCGAGGAAGCACCTCATCGAGTCGGTGAAGGCGTCGCTGGCGCGCCTGCAGCTCGGCTACATCGACGTCGTCATCGTGCATAAGGCCGACCCCATGTGCCCCATGGAGGGTAAGTGCACCTATCGCTCAACCTCAATGCAGGTTCCCTTCGAGAGGTGTGCTGTGTAAGCCTACACAGTTGCTGTGAGTAGGAACTTGACTTGTGAATCACAACAGTTTTCGAAAATTCAGAGGGATTAACTAAAATCATACCTGGCCCATTTTTTAAAGGTCCCTCGCAACATCCAAGGAAAAAATAATCAAAACACTTGATTTTTTTACAACTTTTTGCGAATGTTGGGGCATTTCATGTCAAGTCCTCTACTCCAGTACCTCATGTCAATTCCCCGATTCAAACCCTCAGGAAATCGAGTTTCCCCAGATCGATCGGAGAAATTCAATTTTAGATAAAAATTTAAAGGTTTAGGCGCTAGCGTTGACCACACACCGACGGATAGAAAGCCGTTTTGCAGTCGACAAATTTTACATATCCCACAAAAAATTGGATTCTGGCTACACTACTTTTCAGAGGAAATAATTTGCTACATATAATAAACGAGGTTTATCCTTCTTTTTTATAATAGTAATCCCATAGTTCGAGTTTTCTGACAAAAACTCCTATTTTTGCCGCAGAATTAAATACTTTCTCTATGCTACTTAAGAAGTATCAGAAAAGTAATAATGACAGCACATAAGCTGTCTTTATATTAATTTTACGAGATTAGTAATACTTAACTGTTTTCACTTTAAAGCCAGTTAATAAGGGCAATTAACAACACATGTACGGACGTCTACTCAAACAACTTTCTAAATAAACTGCTCAAACAACTTTCTGAACAAACGGTTGTAAATGTATAGAATTTTTGGGGCATTTTTAAGGGTAAATTGCCTACATACACTCTTAATTATTCAGTGATGGGCAAGTACGTAAACCGCATTTGTGCATTTGTTTTTGAAACTAATTTCGACAGACTAAGATAAGGGTAGTGACCTGTATCATACTTTCTACTACATTACTCCTTCATTTCTTATATTTAAATTACAAGGATTCAAATTACTAACATTAACAATAAAATAGTCATAAAATTGTATTTTCTTGAGTAGAGGTCAGCTGCAGAAAAAAATTCTACTCCATTTGTTGCCGGCGTTTCGGCTCGTATAATACAATAAGAATATAATAAGAATGATGATCACGTAATCGCCTCGCACGAAGGTTTTAACGCGTTGCTGTTGTGGTGTGCGCAGAGGTGGTGCGCGCCATGAACCACGTCATCTGCATGGGCTGGGCCATGTACTGGGGCACGGCGCGCTGGTCGCCCGTCGAGGTCATGGAAGCCTACACCAACTGCCGCCAGTTCAACTGCGTCACGCCCATCTGCGAGCAGGCAGAGTACCACATGTTCTGCCGCGAGAAAACCGAGCTCTACATGCCGGAGCTCTACAACAAAATCGGTGAGATGGCGCGCACGGCGACAGTCTGCGGGGGGCATGAGGCATAGAAACCAAGGAACATAGGGCAAAGGGCAAGGACAAAGGGAGAGAGTATGACTGATGGAAAATGACAGAGTGCAAACCGCAAATGAGAGAGGGCAAAGGTCAGAAAACAAAGGGCAAAGGAAGGAGGGTGTATGGCAAAGAGCAAATCACACTGGTAATAGTGCAGAGAACGGAAGGCAGAGAGGAAAAAAACAGAGATCAAAGGCCAAAGGGCTGTGGACAAGGGCATAGGAAAGAGGGCAGAAGACAAAGATCAGCGACCAGAGAACAGTAGGTACAGAGCTGGGAGCAGAAGGCACAGAATTAAGTTAACTAAATGAACTACAGCAAAGTGGCCAACATGCAAATACGGACTTGACAAATACAACTGGTAACCTATTTTTTAAATACGTGAACAGAGCGGAAATGTTTTAAGAAAAAGTAAAAATAAAAATAGGAATAAATTAATAATAGAACTTCATAAATTGCAAACCCAGGTTTAAAAGTGTGACTGTAAAATTATTGAACTACATCAGCATTAAAGAAAAATGGGGGAAATTTGTTTATTGGAACCTCACAACAAAAGGTTCTGAAACCACGAGATTTTGATTAATGGAAAATAAATTTAAGAACTGAAAAATAACGCTAAACATAATTTGAAATAAGGTTTAAAGGTTCTATATTGTGCGGATTCATTAAAATCAACAAAAATTAAACCGAAAGTAATGATATTAAAGATATAACACATACTTTAGGGATCTAACCGTTTTACACAAGAACCAATGATTTGACAAAATGAATCATTAGTCGTAGGATGGCCGTGATCCTTAAGGCAGACGTGCCGTAGCGATCTCGGACTGAAGCATAGCGGGTTCGCGGTATTTGTGCCCGTTCTTTCACCCTCTAATGTCACCATGCCATGTCATCTTCACAGTAAGCACAACGTTAAACTCAATAGTGATCGCTGATTACCTAGATATTGATAAGACCTTAAATCACAACAAAAAAATGAAGCATTCATAAACAAATGAAATTATGTAAAAATCTTTTGAAAAAATACAAAAGAATCAGAAACTCATTGCAGCAATCATCAGTATTTTATTATTCTGATTAGTTCATCTTCACCAACCTTATCACTATTTAGTTATTAAACTTATCACTAGTGTTCGTGAAAGCGCAGACAAGATACCAATAGCAAGGAAACAGGGGAATATGCTGTTGTAGTAAGTTCAAACGCCGCGTTGCTGAAATACTGCACGCTTATCTTGCGAATCGGCATGCCGGCAAGGCGGCGGGCAGATTCTTCCGCTGCCTGCTGCCCCAAAGTCGCATTACATTCCTCACTGCCGGACGACCCGAGCATTCTTAACTCCACATCACATACGATGCTCAACAAATGGAACACAATGCTTGTAAACATTGCAATCAACGCGATAAATGGAACATTACTCATTACAATGAATTACATTCCAAGCTCTGAGCTTTTTTTCCAATTACGGAACATATGTTCTTATGAAAAGGTCCAGTTTTGCTTCGAAGTACATCGAGGAAATTTCTGATCTGCAAGACCGGCATTTTATAGCTTATGTATTAGCGAAAACTTAGGAGCATTTCTTATGTGTGCTTAAGGCATTTCTTCATATAACATAAGTATCTAATATTACTTGCATTCGTTTCTCTACTTTCTATTGTGATTTGTACAGGATGTTCGGGGAGAAAACGTCGAAAATTTGAAATTGTGCTCTTATGACAATTTTAAGTATATTTTTTCAAATAAACTACGTGGTGATTCCGAATGGGTGAGCCGCAATAAGCACTCAAAAGTTGAATTAAAAAATGCATCGTAGGCAAAAATGTGTACTGCAGAAGCGTAGAAACACTCCAGAAACATGTAATTTTTTTATTATTTATAAAAGAAATTAATATATTTGTTCAAAAAGGAAAATTAACCCAGTTAGTAAAAATAAGTTAAATTTTGTCTAGGTGATTTTTTTACTTCTATGATAATTTTTCTTTTTGAACAAATGTATTAATTTATTTTGTAAATGATAAATAATTAACATGTTTCTGGAGTGTTACTATTCCTTTGCAGTACACATTTTTGGCTACGATGCATTTTTTCAATCCAACTTTTGAGTGCTTATTGCCGCTCAACCATTCGGAATCACCACCTAGTTTATTTGACAAAATATGCTTAAAATTCTTAAGAATGTATATGGGAAGTATCGATGTTTTCTCCCCTGACATCGTGGATATATTTCAAACGAAATCTTGTTTAAAGTCGAAATAATGGGCGCAATTTATTAAAGGCATGGATTCTCATAGAGTAATTTATTTCCAAAAGATTTGCAGATAACTGCTCTGCAATTCTTCATTGCTTGTACAAAATCTCATATCCATCAGAATTATTATATGCCAACAAGTTACATTCGTAGTGATTCTAAAAATACGTGTAAATAGCAGATAATTAAAAATGTGAATTTTCGATACATAAGCAAGTTTGATATAAATGTAAGGAGTAAATTCAAAAAGTACCTCTGACACACTTGTAGAACATTTTACGCATATCCTGGGGTTCAGAAAGGACCGCAAACAAAGGAAGATTCCGTTTATTTTGTACAGCGATTGCACCCCTTCAAAGCTTTGAAGAGAGAAATACGAGGGAGGAGTGGCGAGAAAACAAGCCTGTGCCGTTCACAAAGGCGTAAAACCTCACCACAAAGCCAATGTGTTTCGAAATACGTAGCTTAGAAGACACAGCCAAAACAAAGTTCCCTTGTCTGCGACGCGTTCTGCTGATTTTCCGAATTTGTGTACGAGATGCAGGGGATAGCAGGGGGGGGGATCTGTGGGAAAGAGCATTCTGCACATTTAGTCGATCCCGAACCGGTAGGAGCTATTCTTCACAAGTTCGGAAGTGATTACCTGGAAACTGTCACAGTTTCGATTTGGACTGAAAAATGCAAATATTTGATTGTGTTATTCCCTCTATTCTTAGATTGCAATGCGACTAAATTATCACAGTCAGTGCCTCACCTTACATTCCAGCTGACGGCATGCAACAGCAAAGCTGCAAGGAATCGGCCAGCCGTCACTAAATATTTGCTATTCACGTGCCTCTTTACGAAACAGCAACCTTTTTTTAATATTATTTGTATTTAAATAACTTTTATTCTATACTATGTTATTGCTCACTATTATGTGCCAATTCTGCAGTCGCACAATCTCACTGAGCATTGCAGGGATGCCGAACGTTACATTAAATTTAGCAAAGAATAAATATTGAAAATCCAAAAATATAGTTAAAATTAATAACTCTGTTATGCTAACTAATAAAAACTTGCTTCCAAGTTAATATTTTTTGTTCGGAAACCATACATTTTTATGGTTATCCTTATTCTGAATACTTATTAAAATAATCTATTATTTAAATAATACTGTAATTATTTGTTACAAACATCGTATCAAATTTTCTTTATTTGGGAATGAAAGTGGCAAGAGTATTTTATAAATTATGACTTATGATTATGGAAGTACTAGACCATCAACATGTGTTATGTTGGTAGTTCTATCAATTGTTACAATAATATTTATGTAAATATAATTAATGTTTTATCGAATTGCCTATAATGTATAGTCTATTAACGTATTAATTATTGACATATTAATTTGTTAATAACACATCAATATGTGAATTCAACGCAGATAATTAAAAAAATTAAATATATGAAACATATTGATTTATATTTTAATATAATATAACCTATAATACGTAAATACATTGTAAAATAATACGCCTAAAACCAGACATTGGTTAAATTTCATTTCCAAATTTCTTACATATTATTAGTCCTTTCATACTATATTTCTTCACATTCTGGATTTTTTGAAACAATTTTTAAACTCCATGTAACATTTCGCTCAGTATGATTACAATAATTTATAGAAAAAAATTGTAACATTTAGAAGACAACTAATGTTTATAAAAATATTAGTGGTGCTAAATCAAAACGTACTTTCTCGCTCGTAGTTTCATGCAAAATTTAATTAAAAGCAATGGACCCATTTTTTTTGAAAATTTGAAAAATGTTCCAGAGGCTTCATGAAATGTACCTCTCAAAATTAATATATCGGTTTCAAATTCAACGGGTGGCGACATCTGTCGGATTGATTGAGGAACATCATTTATAGAGAAAATCGGCTGAACAATTTAGCCGCTAGCGTTGTTTACATACGGACGGGCGGACGAACGTTAAGGAGTCATTCGATTTTTCGGTATCAAGGACTCGCAAAACATGATTCTGGCTACACCACGTGTTAGATTTCCTACCTAAATTTAACAACTGGATTTATTCACTTTCTTATTACCAAGACCCTGTAATAAGAGTTTTCTTTCACAAATTCGCCGTTTTTTCGTGCAACATTAGATAACTTTCTCTCTATTCCGCAACGAGGAAGTAATAGAAGAGGGTGCTTCTATTCAAGTATCGCAAAGGCCTGAAATTCGTTCACGTGGTTTGGCGACTCAATTCTTGACTATCCCAAATACTGCAGAGACAGAGCGAGATTGAAATTGAAAATAAATATCAGCACTCCACACATTGACACACTCGTCAATGATGTCCAAATTCGCCTACCGCTGCTCCCATATGATCCCCACATGTTCACTGATTCTGTTCTCTCACATGGTTGCCAGAAGTTTTCGGCGTGTTTTCCTGTCTTCCGCTTTTACCTCCGCACGTTTCCCAAATGTTTCGTAATTAATCGCATGTTCCCAGAAATGTTCCCGAAAGATCTCGCCCCCAAAAGTTTACCAAATAATTCTCCCAAGTTTTCTAAATTATCCCCCCAAATGTTCGAGATAAACTCCCAAAGTTTCCCCACAGATCCACCTAGAGTTTCCCGAAAGATCCCCCCAAATTTTCATAAACGATCCCCCAAAGTTTCCAGAATGATCCTCCAAAGTTTCCAGATAGATCCTCCAAAGTTTCCAGAAAGATCTCCCCAAATGTTCCCTCGAAAGATCCCCCCCAAATGTTGCTAACAAATCTTGGCCCCAACCGTCGCCCTAATTGTTCCCCAAACGTTCCGCCCAAAACGTGCCTCCCAAAACGTTACCTCCAAAACATTTCCCCGAAAACGTCCTTCGACATGTTTTCCCGTATGTTTTTTAAAATGTTCCTACAAATGTTTCTCCAATTCTTCCACACATGTTTAACGATTTTTCCCGCGCTTTCTAACCCGGAAATTAAACTGGAAAGACAAAAAATAAATTTAATTGGTTGCTTCACGAAATGAACGTGTTCATGAACACGTTCATGAACATTACGACGGTATATAATACAATGTCTACTCAGATGAATGAAACGGGAAGTTCTGAATAGCTAGAGTGACTAGAAGAATAAAACTCCACAAATTGTAGCAGTAGAAAGGTCCCGAAAATATTTTGCAAGAAACTGCATCTCCAAAACAAAATAACTTTTTAAATAATTGTTTTAACAATTCTCACTGGAATCCAACCTCGAACGGTTCTGGCTATTCTTGTTACAGAGTGCTGGAACCATAAAGAAAGTTATACAACAACCGAAAAAGTCTAATTTTGTAGATAACGTTGTAGAAAACTTGTGACTCA